AAGAAAGTAAAAGTAAATATATGATTAAAATTAATTCAAATTAAAAAAGCGGATGTAAAATTGACTAAAATTAATTTAAATAAATCATTTTATATTGGGTTTAAATTAAAAAGAAATGAAAATACAAGTTATTCATAAACTTATAATTATCTAATAATAAATATAAATATTAGACAACATCACACGCATAACACTTGTGTCATGGAAATCGGTAAACAACAACGGTACCACATACACCCAGTCCCGAGACAATACAGAAAAGTTAATTTCTACACTGACCCGATCAGGGATCGAACTCGGGACCTCAGAGATGGCGATACTATGAACACTATGCAGACCACTCGATCACAGAGGCCGTCGATATCGTTTATATTAAATGTAAAATTATTTAATAAAACAAATCGGGAAAGTAATAAGAAACCTGTGACTCGTGATAAACCTATTATACTTAATTAACATTTGCAATTATACATACACAAATGATAACACCTATTTTCTGCTATCAAACAGTAATATGAGCAGTACTGCGTTCCGGTTTTGAAGGGTGCTGGTGAAATTACAGGCACATGGGACTTGGCAACCAGACGCTGATAAGCAATAACATTTTACAAACATAAACTAAGTGATCTGAAACCTCCAAATAATAAAAAATTATAAAAGAGTTTACATAAATCCACTAACCACTTTGGCTCAAAAATCTTTATACGCCACTTTCTCAAAACCATGATCATGTTGGTAGACACCTTATAGCTAGTCAGCATCCAACTTAATATGTCACAGTTTCTGTGTGCTTCTGATCTTTGCTATTTAAATAAGCTCTGGGAGGCACTGCCACTGCCACCGTGTCAAAGCAAAACACTAATATCAAAATCAGCATATTGAGAAAAAGCTGCAAAAAATATTTTTCTTAATGACATAAAAATTAGGTTTTAAAGAATTCTATCCAGGCATGATAATTTTGTACTTTACAAAATAAGCTACTTTTAAAGAAACGAACAAATTCATTTTCTTTTGATAACTACAAATGAAATTACAAATATTGTACAGAGCCTTACAGTGTGTTGGTTTGACACGATATTTCTATGGACAGTTGCGTCGTTTAACACCAGGCGTACGACTTGTTAGTCCAGTCATTTGGTATCGTAAAAGAAAAACAAAATTATTAACTTCCGGATCATAACGATACATTGATATCGTGTTGAAAAAAAATGTCGAAACTGTGTAATTTTATACCTTCTTTTGAAAAAGATACGTTCTATTTACTTGTTACGTTGTTCTCAATCTGATTCCGTAATTTCGGATATAAAGCCGCGTTCACACTTTACCCGGAAATATCCCCTCTGCACATCCTTTAACATAGAAATAAGAGCAAGTATAAAACCTCATGCGCATCCTCGCTGCGCCAGTCGCTCGCGCGCGCGTAACTTAACCGTTACATACGAGAACTTAGCTCATACTTAGAACTAACTTAAAACGTAAGTTCAATTACAAGTTGCGTGTGTGTTTTTGTTGGTGTTTACTTTTCTTAGGAGTTACAAAGTGAGTGTGGTGCTTCCAGATGTGAAAATTACAGTTTTTTTTTATAATTCCACTGCCGAGCACGAGTCTTTTGGGAGAGGGTGTAAAGCTAGTTTTTATAAGTGAAAGCGAAGCTAATTTTTGGGGAAAAAACGAATTTTTAGTGCTTATTTTTAGTGCAGTGTCGCATAGACTTATTAAAGAAGTCAGAAACTCTGGAAGCACTGCATCTCTATATTCCTTTGAACAATAAAAATGTGTAAGGATTTTTCAGCATTTCGTTGCAGGATTTCATTTTTTGATATTTTCTGAAAAAAAGTCAATAAAAATAATTAATAAAACTAGGAAGTGAAGTCAATTGATAAATGAGAAATTTCAATAAATCCAACAATTGAATTATTTGATTTATTGGCATTCCGGATTGTGTCAATGTTGGAGAATATCGCCTCTGCTATTTAAAAAAAAATATATTTATTTTTTAGGCCATAGGTTCCCAAAATATCTGGCTCACCGCCCACTTACGCAAGATAAAAATAATTTCATTGCCTACCACCACAAAAAAAAAATCATATATATATACATAGGTAGTTTCTATAGATTTTTTTTTAATGCGGTAGCAGCAACGCCCGCCAAGCGCTTCCGAGGCCCCTACCCCTAGGACTTTTCAGCGCCCACTGGGGCGCCACTTTGTAAAACTAAGATTTAGGCCATGATAAAAGCGAGAATCTACAATATTTACCCAAAATAATGACTTAGGATATGAAACAAATTTTTCCGGATATAAATCGTGTATATTTGCTTGTTTTTTTTTTCAAACAAGCCAACGTTTTAAGTCCTTTATAAGTAAAAGGTCGAGCCGTGACCATGCGTACGGTAAATATCTATAATATAATATCGCTTGTACACCTAAAATGTTGGGACAAACACTTGAGACCGTCATTTCGGAACTGATAAGAATCGGGCGCAACCGCTCTACATATAACTAAATTAATAGCAATATTGTAACATGTCGAAGACTTTCTAGAATAGTGGCCTATCACAAAAGCACCGAATTAATCAGAAAGATGGTTTAAAATAAAACTGAAACGTCTTTGTCGTGGAATGTTGACGAATCGTAGATCACACCAATGTTGTTGTGATTGTCTTAAGGAATGAACAACGGAACTATTTTGAATTGGAATTAGAAGAAAAAGTTATTTTTATTACGTTATCATTCTAGCGCTTCCCCAAGTGTTCTAAATTCCTTTATCACATGATGATGAAAAACACCATGAGAAAATCTACGTGTAGGGAGTTTAAAGCACTTGGAAAATGTGTGGTTAAATTCAATAGTAACAGTTTAAATGAATAATTAATACGTGTTAGTGTTTTACAAGACAGTAAAAAGGAAAATAACATAGTCAATATGTAGACGTTTTAGCTTGCCATTGTGCCGAATATCGCGTATATTTTTGTTTTTTATAAACTAACCAACGATCATGGCAGTCAATTGACAAATACTGACTAGATTTGTTTGTTTTGCTTGATGTGTGTATATATATCACTTGTAACCTGTAAATGATTAGATTTAAGTTAAATTGTCGATGTATTGTTTTGTTGTACCTTATGTTCAAAATTATGTTCCGACAATGTCCGACAGAGAACACAGGCGGAGTCTGAGAAGCCGCACTAGGCTCAGGCTTCATCTTTGTCAGAACTCATAGCTCATAATTTATTAGTACATAATATCGTGTGATTTTCTATGTATATGTGTGGGTGTGTATGTTTGATGTATAAAGTCCTATTTATAGGAAATGAAACTATTTTTTCGGATTACATCGTGTATATTTGTTTTTTCAAACAAACCAACGTTTCGGGCCCTTTACAAGACCCATGGTCACGGTTGACTGAGGTGGTACAGTCATCACCCAGTTATGTCTAATATTATTAATGCGAATTACCCATGGGACATGTAAAGGGCCCGTAACATTGCTTTATTTGAAAAAACAAATATACGCTAATTAAAACCGGAAAAATAGTTTCATTCCCTATGTGTAACAATTGCGAAAACTTAAGTACTCGAAAAGTCCTATTTAATTTCATTTAATAAATGCGATTCTAAATCCAGAAAATAATAACTTTTTCGTAAAAAGAACCGACCTCAGAAGTTTTATAACATTACATTTATTTACCAAGTTTTTTTGAAATCGGTTAACGGAAAGTGAATTAAATCCAATAAATCGGATTCATCCATTAATTTGCTACTCTTGGAAGTGGAATTTATTCTTCAAAATTGATGGGAACTGAAAGCGCGCACCCCTGCTGGTGCGGCTTGGAATGTTTTGTAGGATTGTGGCCAGGAGAGTAGTAGCCTCCGCAGCCTCCATACATCGTACTTAGTAAGTTTAAAGTTCAAAATTCCAAAGGGTAAAAAGAAATAGTGGTAATAAATACAATTCTATAAATATTATTCGCGTCTTATTAATATTTGTGATCTTTAAAATATTTGTCGCTCAAGATGTTTTTGGTAACTGGTACACGGTTCAAAAAATGAAGACGTGTACGCGGCCGCGTTCGAGCAGGAGTGACGATAGATCGAAGCAAAATTAGAATGGCGAGACAAAGGAATTTAAAAAAGATTCAAAATTTAAAAACGTGGCCAGGAACCGGAGAAAAGTCGATAAAAAGATGGGATGACGATATAAGAAGGTCATATCGTCACAGGACCACTACTAAGGTATACCCTTTCCAACAAAAAAGAATCATCGATATCGGTTCACAAATGAGAACCCCCTCACTTTTTAGAAGTTGTTAATAACTTTTTTTAGCAAAAAAAATCGACCTCAAAGTTAGCTTATCGGCTTTTTTATTGAAATTAATAAATAAAAAATAAAATAAAATAACTTTATCTCAGACATCAAAAGATGGTCCATTCAAAAGTGTTAGTTAAACAAAATTAAAATCATAAGGATCTACGTGTTACTCTACAATAAAAATCCATATGAAAAAATAAAAATATAAAATAAAAAAATAAAAAATATATACGAGTATATGGAATTACATCTATTTGCCAAGTTTTATTAAAATCGGTCATCGGAAAGAACGCGAAACCGGATTCATAAAATTTGAATGGGAATATTACGTAGATACCCTATCACAAAAAAAATACAGTCGACTTAAGAAGGATGGACAGACAAAGGAGACTTTTCGAAGTCGGTTATAAACGAGGTTCATTTTTATGAAACTTAATTCTTTTCCACCGATTGCGGTTAAATAAAAAAGTGATTACAACTTTCAAGCAAAGTAAGCAGATACCACGGATGTCTCCAGATTTATTTGAAATAGATTACTTAGCACTCGTATGATGTAATGAAACTATCTTTTCTAATGTTCTGAATGTGATACTTACTTATAAGTCGTAGAAATTAAATTACTTTAGTCGTTAGTCGTTTTTCACTAAGAAACTACGTTACTAACTATTGTTAAATATTTATTACAGGTATATTCTACAGAACACAATGTACAACACGGCTCTAAGAAAGGTAAGACGTTGTTTGAAAATAACTATCATATTTGTGTATAGACATTAAACTATTTTTCCCGGGTTTAAATCGAGTACATTTTTTTTTCCAAACAAACCAACGTTTCGGGGCCTTTACAGGTCTTATGATCACGGCTGAATGAAATGGCTGTAGGGTGGTTTACATCAAGAGTCGATACTATATGTATATACTACCTCAAATTTTTCCCGTACTTATACGGTTCATTTGGATTGATCGATCACGGGTTAGTCAACCCGTCGGCCAGCGGCAGATGACAGCACTAAGAACAGACTCACCCTCTTTCGACGACAACCGCGATGACTCGGGAAACTAAAGTCGAAGCATTTTTACTTTTATTACTGTAAGTAACTTACTTCAGTTTCGCGATACCGTGCGTATGATTTGTCGCAAAAAGTGAGAGACATTTGAAAAACGTATATCGTATTCGTGTCTATTTAGTTCAGTTGATATAAAAAAAATCATTTTCACACCGTGCAGTAATCAGTATTAATATATATTTAATATATATTTTTCTAAAGTGATTGATTTATTTATGTGGTCTGTGGATTTAACACTTTCATTGTTATGCGGAATTAACCAAAGCCATTTGAAGTAGTACAGATTTTAATATTAGACAATGTTTGATGACCGATGTGATCTCAGACTATTAACAATCGGAAACGTTAATAACTTTGTCATTAATTTAAACGCGGTGACAATTATATGGTTAATTTTATGTCTAATAATAATAAGTTTAAATAACGCCGAAATAATATACATATATGAAAAATTGTTTAAAAACTCAGACACTGTACGTATAGTAACTTTTTATTAATCAATAAATTGTTTAGTGTTTTTAAATAGCATACAATTTTTCTCAAACCTTAGAGCGTTCGCGCACTTCTTCCGATTCCGAATCCGAAAAATTACGGTCCGAAATATCACAGGGATCATTTTATTATTCGTACTTTCTCGTATTCTAATCGGACTTAGTGCACAAGCGACATCCGAAGTGGGTCCGAGTTCTCTAAATAGTAAATTCTTTTATGCATAAAGAAATTCGTAAAAGAAGCACGCATCATTGCTTTATACACACTGTACACGCTCGTCGGTTAAGGGTACGGTAGACTTGGTCTTTATTTTGACCGTCTTTGATTTGGTATAGTAAGTTCACCTTGGTGGACTCTTATCGGTTAACCCGCTCACATTCGCCATATAAATCTGCATCATCAATCTTATTTCACTCATCCTCTCTAGATGTCCGAACCAACTAAACATCTCAACATTTGTTACTTCAATTAAGTAGTATGGGAACAAAAACCGATAACTCATATTTTGACTTGTTCTTCTTTTTAATGTTAAACGGTAGTTTTTTTAGTTTATATGTGTCTATGAATAATTTATCCAACCTGAACAGCAACCGCTAAGTCTTCCTTAAAAATATATTTAATATGAAAACATGAAGATAGCAATTCCATTTATATTGGCTGAAAAAATCCATATTTAAAAAAAACTTAAGTTATTGTGAAAACAAAAGTTCGCGTAATTAAACATTTTCACTTATTAGAGGAACGCGAAATAGACTGCTAATCTAGCAGAAATTACACACAGTTATAAGTGAAATTACAGGCTTGTAATATGTCTGAATGCCCAACACGCACAACTTGAAAGTTTATACTGAGAAATAGCTGAAAAATATGAACAATTAGCGTTGGAGATTAGATAGATCTAGCTGCAACGGGAAGTGTAAACCGTGGCCCTCATTTTGTTCTTTGCCGGCGTCGTTACAAGAAGCCTATAGAAGAGCTAAGCTAAAGTGGACCTTTTTGCAAATCTTGGATTCAACATTCAAAAGACCATGATAATCCGGATATTAAGTTCAGCCCACACTGCATCTATAGTCACCCATAAAGATGTACTAAAGAGTTCCTCAAACAATAATAATAATAATAATAACGCGACCACACTCATAGCCCCGGACTAGGGAAACCCTGTTTCGCGTGTGCCATGGACACACACATACATAACCACAAATTATACCCAAACTCACGAGAGAAATAAATATAGGCCATACAAATATTTCTCCTGACCCGGAAATCGCACCTGGGACCTCTGCGTGGCAGTGGAGTAAGTGTAAGTGCAGTGGTATGGCAACCGTTCGACCACGGAGGCAGTCATCATCATCATCAGCTTACACGCATCCACTGCTGGACATAGTCTCCCCTAGAGCACGCCAACTTTCCCGGCCTTGTGCCGCCCGCATCCAGCCACTGCCCACCTTGCAGTCGGTCAGTCAGGTCGTCCGTCCATCTTGCCTTTTTTATTCTTCACTTAATGTTAGGACTACTGTTCTAGAGAACATGCCAGTCCTATCGTAACCTTATTCTAATTGTCATGCAATTTACATACTTGACATGACACTATTTGGCTATTGTTATTATATATTTGTAGTAAAAAAGCTTGATGACAATAAAAAATGTTTGACAATATTTCTTGATTTGGCTAAAGCATTTGACACGGTCTCTTTTCCAAAACTTGTAAGTGCACTGGAACGATATTTCGGCATACGGGGTTCACAATTGCAGTTGCTAAATGACTTTCTTCAAAATCGCTCACAAAGTGTGAAGATTGACAATATCATTAGCAACGAAGCAGCCATAACTTGTGGTATCCCTCAGGGTAGTACATTGGGTCCAACACTTTTTCTCTGCTACATTAACGAGTTGTGCAATCTTAATTTGAAAAACTGCAAAATAATTTCATACGCAGATGACACCACCTTAACTTTTCATGGGAATAGTTAGGAGGAAGTTGTTGAACTGGCTCAAAGTGGCTTTAATAGTGTATGTCACTGGCTGGCAGTCAACTCGTTGAGCTTAAATTCTAACAAAACAAAATTGATACCCTTCTCCTTAAAAATCCCTCTAATAACGTTAATCTTAATATTCTGGCTCATTCATGTTCGTTCCCGGTACAAACTTTGTGTTCTTGCCCTCCATTAGAGACAACGCGGTCGATTAAATATCTGGGTGTGTTAATAGATAATCGGTTGACATTTCTTTCTCACATTAATAATCTTGCTCAAAGGGTTAGAAAGCTAACCTATATTTTCAAACAACTTCGTCATGTGTTAGATGGCAACCTGATGAGAAATGTTTATCTAGCACTTTGTCACTCTATTATCTCGTACGGTATCGTTTCCTGGGGTGGCGCGGCGAAGTCGCACATGCTTGTGATAGAAAGAGCACAACGGTTGATTTTAAAGGTCTGTCTTTTTAGGCACCGTATGTATCCTACAAGAGATCTTTATTGTGAGACTGAAGTTTTAACCGTTCGACATACGTACCTTCTTGCTCTAATTGCTAAACAGCACTATTTGATAGAATATCGTACTGATCATCCTAAGACAATTACAAGACGATCCCATGAGGTATGTGGGGTGACTGCGGTGAGGACTTCTTTTGCAAAGAGGTTCAGTGGCTACCTGGGTGGAAGGTTATACAATTACGCGAATAAGGTTTTGAAAATATACTCGTGCACTCAAAGAGAATGTCAAATGCTTGTAACTCAATGGCTATTATCGAAAGACTACACGGAAACAGAAAACATTGTGTCACAATATTCTTTTATGTATTAATATTAGTACTCATATATATACAAACACCACCAAGTACAACATCTAAGTACCCCA